GACATTTGAGCGAATCATACCTGATTCCGAGGATCTCGTCCCAGACCAGATCCGCCCTTCAATTATATCATATCATATCATGATATATCTTATCTCAAGCCCAAAGGCCCAAGACAACCCTAACTCACACAAAGGTATGTGCATTACATATATACGAGACTCATACTCATACAAACTCAAACTTTAGCATCGGAGTCTCTTTTGCAGGTACCTCCCCCATCTCGGAGCACCAATACACCCAGCGAAGGAGGCTCACCAATCTTACCCGGCGGATCAGCTCTACAGCAGATTTCCGGTAAGAACATTGCATTCGTATCTAGAACCGAATGGGTAACCATTTGTGTGCGTATAAAACTGAACGAGTTTGTTTCGAATTTCGCTTTAATAAAACCAAAGAGATATACACCAGGAATATGTTCTTTAAATAAAACCGAACTGATATGCTTCGGTTTGTAGAACTTTTTTGATAAAGCCGAACTGATTTGTTTCGGTTTGAAACTCATTTTTGGTCAAGCCGAACTGATAAACTTCGGCTGGTAACCTTTTTTGAATAAAACCGAACTGATATGCTTCGGTTTGTACAACTTTTTTGATAAAACCGAACTGATTTGTTTCGGTTTGAAACTCATTTTTTGGTCAAACCGAACTGATAAGCTTCGGCTAGTAACACTTTTTTGAATAAAACCGAACTGATATGCTTCGGTTTGTACAGCTTTTTTGATAAAACCGAACTGATTTGCTTCGGTTTGAAACTCATTTTTGGTCAAACCGAACTAATAAGCTTCGGTTGGTAACACTTTTGAATAAAACCGAACTGATATGCTTCGGTTTGTACAGCTTTTTTGATAAAAACCGAACTGATTTGCTTCGGTTTGAAACTCATTTTTGGTCAAACCGAACTGATAAGCTTCGGCTGGTAACACTTTTTTGAATAAAACCGAACTGATATGCTTCGGTTTGTATACCTTTTTTGATAAAACCGAACTGATACGCTTCGGCCTGTACATGTTCTTTTGATAAAACTGAACTGATATGCTTCGGTTTGTACCTTGTGGGGAAAGCGTGTTACACTATACATATATATTTTTTAGGGCACATCCTTGGCCGAGTTGAATGACTCGGGAGGGAGGCCTGTTGCAAGATTTTTCAAGGGACATCCTTGGCCGAGTTGAACAACTCGGGAGGGAAACCT